CCCCAAAACCCCAAAACCCCAAGTGGATAAAAATATCAAATTTCGAAACATATTAAAGCACTTTATTGCAATAAATAATAATACTGATCAATTAAACCACTGTTGAATATAAATACTCTTTAATTATCATTATTTTCATAATAACAATTAATAAAGTATCTGTTATTAGATTTATCATTCATAATCAATATCAACCCAATTAATTTATAGTTTAGAATCTAATCATTGTTTTATCAAAAGCAGAGTTTAAATTTTATTATTGTTTGTTTTTCTATGTGTTCTACAGATATCATCGATTGGGATACTCAGTTTTTAAATATGTATGATGTCTCCGCTTATCTTAACAGGTTCTACCTCATTTTTGACATTGACAGAGAATTTCGAGTCACCATTAAAATGAAAATGATGCGGTGAGCAATCTTTAAATTGCTTGTTTTCAGAAATTATTTACTAGTAATAGACATGATGTTTGCCTTTATGATGAAACCCATAAATTATTACTTCTTCAATATGTATTCTACTAGATTCAGGATAGCAACTTTATTTGTCAAGAATCTCAAGAGACAAGGCATTTTCTTTGTACTCATATTTAACATAGGAATATTCTTTCCAATCTCTATACTTAAATGTTTCACCATCATCAAGGTACAGATATCCTGTAGCCTACTGCCTGTCGTCTAGATAAATCTCTAACTTGATATTATTATTCTAGACACTGGTTGCAGAAGTAAATTTATTGGTATTTATTCTCATTGGAATTATACTTCCTGCCTTTATATAGATGCCAAGATCTTTTTACTGCATTTTAATAGTATTTAAACTTCCATCACCTTTTATAATAGCTTTGGTTTAGTAGTCGTACCATGTGGTTGAGCTTGGAAAATACTGATCGACTAAGTATACTTACTTCTAAAGATACTAACCATCAACTTCTTCATAAGAACATTCAACCTGATTCAATTTGGGAGTTATCAGAATTGAATCACCAATCATGAATTGATCTTAAAGTTCGAAAGTTTAATTATCTTGAGGGTATTCAAACCACATTGGTCTCATTACTGGATAACCGTACTATTTTGATTGATGGAATACTGTGTAAAGGTAGACAATAAAATCGTATCTCATCCTAATAGTTTCGTAAACACTCTCTCTGATATCATCTGGCTAATTAAAAGGCTCACGATTATTGTTGTCTATATGTCCATGAGCCCTGAAGAAAGGAAACCAAACTCCAAGCTGATAGAATCTCAAATATAGATCATTATCAGCATCTCCAAAGAATCCAGGAATATCTGCTCCAACAAATGGAACACCTGAAATTCCTAAGTTTAGAATCTATGAGATTGATGAAGAAAGTTCCTCATTGTTAGCTTAATTATCACCTGTCCATTTGGCAGCGTACTTTTAAGCTCCGAAGAATATAGATCTTGAGAGAATAAATGGTCTTTATACTCCATGATCTCTATCTATTAATCCATCATACGTTGCTTTCGCTCCCATTAATCCGTAAGCATTATGAACATCTCTATGAAAAGCAGCAGTAGAATTACCCAGAAGATGTATACTATTTTTTGGTAGAGTACCCTCTTCTCCATCAAATACAGATGGTTCGTTCATGTCAAACCAAATATGCACATTTGAATCTGTGCCCCTAAATTGATCATATGAGTATTACTCTCCCCAGAATTTTTACGCTTAAGAGTTAAAGAAATCAATCCAAACACTCTACCCAGGCCAACACTCTCCCTGAAATAAAGAAAGATCTTTATTACTGACAAAAATCTGATCAATATTATTTTAGTCTTTATTTAGTTCAGCCTCTTTCAATAATCCATTTTAGTAAACATGATAATCTGTCTGTGCAAAGATATGTGGATCAGTCAAAAGCACCAGTTTTCTATTCTTATCTTTTAATTCTTATTTTAGAGTGTCGAAATCGTGCTCGTTAAATCTGTCTGGATGGAAAGTAAAGTACATTTTTTCATTTGCATAGGGCAGATCAGCCCAGAGCACATCTACTGGAATATTTTCCTATTAGAATCTATTTGAAAACTCAAGGAGTCTCTAAGCTGAAGTCTCAGCTTCCCATTTTGAATAGTGATATCCAAGTGAAAATAGAGGAGGTTAATTTATAAAACCAGTGATAGTGGACAGAAGAATTGAAACTCTTTTAGGTGAACTAACATGTGAATCAGATTAGCTTGATCCGATTATGAAGAATTCAAGTTGCCCACTTTCAGTAATAAAATTAACAAATCTCCCAGTTTTAAGTTCCTCACCTGAGGGGTCTTTGCATTGTAAAATATCAACCCAGGTTTCAGATGAGCTATAATATACGATTGATTGATCATGTGTTTTACTATGACCTGTAATATATGGTAGACTACTATATAGACTATCCATTTTCCACTCTTCATGTGGAAATTTGTCAACATTGTATAGTCTATAGGGATCTGTTTTCTCAGTAGTTTAAAGCAAGAATTTCGATGTCCTTTCTGGCAACCCAAATAGATGCTCAGAATTCATGTAAAATCCAATCATAAAACTTTCTCTTTTATATCTATTTTCTTAGTATTCTGGCTCAAACTTTTATGTAAAAAGTTTCCTAGCCCATTCATTTTTATCATTTTCTTAATTATAGTCACCAAAGACTTCAACACCATCTTCATACTAAGTTTATTCCTATACAAAGGGAATAAGGCATTGTTTATCTAAATTTGAAGCAATATCTATATTTTAGTGATTGTTCATTAGACTTTGATAATCTTCAAACATTAAGGTATCCTTGGGATTGACAATGCTTTATTCTAGTCGAAATGGCTCAAACTGTAATGTATAGGTATATTTATCAAGGCCATCGAGACTTTCACTTCGGATTATCATTTTATCCTCGGAGACTTCTGCCAAATTTTCTAATTTATCAATCTTAATAAGTTAACTCTCACTAATAGAAGCCCCAAAATCGTGATCTGTTATCTTGAAACGACTTGGATTTACCTATTTCTCATTTATATTGACTCGCATAATTCCATTCTAATATAATGACAATTTTAAGTCAAGTGTCTCTGCAATGAACAACTGAGGAACTTAGGCAATCTTTTTATCTTTACATTAAAGAATTAATTAGCAGGTAATCTAGTTGCTATTCGACTGAAAAGATAAACCATGAAGTATTTACAAATTTAAGTGAAGTTCTATCTACTTTATATGATATTTAAGGTTCATCATACTAAATTAGATAATCTAATGTCATTCGATTCCTGTTGCAAAATCCTTTTGTTAATTGAAGATTTAGAGTAATTACCTTATTCTTTGCAAGATTTAAATTAGATTTCTTATGATATGCCGAACTAATTCACAAAAATGAAAAGGAAAAGAGCAAAAATCATTGATAAATTTCACTAATAAATTATTTATATATATAAAAGTCCTATAAATAATATATTTAATTTCTTCATCTCCTTATAACTGAAATATTTTGAGTATATGGGGTTTTGGGGTTTTGGGG